TTCTTCAGCGCCGGGAATCACCTCTTCCAACACCGATCTTTCACCCAGAGACTCAGCTGCACCATTTCCAGCTCCACCATTTTGTCCACCATCCGAGGCAGGTTGGAGCCATCGCTTCGGAGAAGGCATTGCTTCTTGATCCCAAAAACCTTGAAAGAACATTTAACCGCAGGGAACCTAATTTGGGCTCATAACCTACGGGGGGACAACCAAGGAAGGAAATCAACTCCCCTAATCGCCCTGAACTTATATTTCCCAGATCGAACCAAGAAACAAACAAGAACACGGATAAGAGCAACCCAGGGGGGAAGGAAAGGGGGAAGGAATCCACACCCTTACCAAACCCTAAGAACCCAGGCACTACTTTTTGAACTTGTGGCTTTCTGTTCAAGCCCATCTTGAGCCAAACATAATTTCCGGGTTTATTAACCCTTCCAACTCTCAACACTAACTCTTTTCTACAATACCAATTGCAGCTCCGCAGGGTTTAGGGTTTAGGGTTTAGGGTTTAGGGAGTTTAGGTTTAGGGTTTAGGGTTTTAGGGTTTAGGGTTTAGGGTTGGTTAACACAACTGCCTCCCGGCTACGATCATCACGCAATAGCGCCCGTTGCTGAAGATGCGCTTGGCTGCGGCAAGAAGCGATTGGCCGGACTCCTCCGGAACCTCGAGGGAGACAGTAACCCAGTAAAAAAACAACACTGTTCCTCAATCAAGGGGTGTATTGGGCTTTGGGCAGGGCGTTTGGGCTGTGGGGGTGGGGGAGTTTAGGGTTCCGAGCTTCGGGTCGTAGGTTGAAGGGTTCAGGGCTTCAGGCCGGTTGAGTCCTTCCGGCGAGGCAAGGAAGGTCCCAAGCGACAGGCTATTGGCATCATATGCATGCCAAGGTGCGGTTTCCTCAAACAAGTAGCTGAGTCCAACAAAGATCACAGCAAGGATGGGTATGATTGCCAGAAAAGAGAACCTGGCAGGATGATTCTTGCCATTGGCACTGACAGGCCTCACTAAGCAGGAATCAGCTGGCCCAATCGTGGACTTTGCCGGCTGAGGATCCCAAGCTGTTCCCGATAAACATGCGAAAATCAGAGGCTGTACTCTCAACAATGTCTTCCGCTCAACAATGATATTCACCAGCACAACGCGAAGAGGCAATACAAATTCATCAAGCACAAGCAACCACATGCAGAAATCCGAGTTCCAAGATACGCGACCATTTATCCTACGAGTCTGACGTGGGAGGCTTTCAGATTAGGCAGAGGGATTCACATACAGCAGGGCAGGCATTTGAAAAAACCTGGCCTCCATCCCATGTGTGACGCCAGGAGTGCCCCTATACTGGGTGCCAGCATGGGCCCGAACAGTCCGACTGCGCCGATCGCGGACAGGTATAGCATTCGTTCCTGGTTGCTACTGGAACACCATTTGGGACAGAAAGGCGAGACACATTGATCCCAGGTGGGCCTACATAGATCCAAGCTCAAAGTCCTTAAGTGCCTTGCTTCCCTGCATTGCCAACCTATTCCCGAGCCAGGGTGCTGACTCGTCCTCGAAACAATCACGGAGCACCGCCAGGATTACCGGGCAGGCAGACTGACGGTCAAGTCAGCTCAAGCGATTCATGCGAGACAATATTGATGTGCTTCCTTTGCGGCTTCGACTGTCTCGGAAACGAAAAATAGACACATCAGAAGCAGTAGCATTCGCACAGCTTGAAAGCTGCCTTGCGAAATCCTGTCCTCCTAAACCATCTGCACTGGCCTGCGCCACACCTTGAAAGCAACGGCCCAGAAGAAACCTGGGCTCGGAGCTTGAGATACAACAGCACCGCAGCAACAGCTATCATTCAGTACCACGCTCATGCCGGCTCCGAGAAGCCATGGATAGCTGGCCGCGCATCCAGCACACAGGGTGCTGACCATCAGCAGGATGCAGCCGGCAAGAATCACCTGTGGGCTTAGGGTTTAGGGTTTAGAGGGTCTAGAGGGTCTAGAGGGTCTAGAGGGTCTAGAGGGTCTAGAGGGTCTAGAGGGTCTAGAGGGTCTAGAGGGTCTAGAGGGTCTAGAGGGTCTAGAGGGTCTAGAGGGTCTAGAGGGCTTAGGGTTTAGCGTTTAGGGTTTAGGGTTTAGGGTTTAACCGACATCAGTATCATCAGCCCGGTGGGTGTGCACAGGGGGACGAATCACGGATTTCTACCACTTGGATCAGTACCTGGCAACTGTGAGGGAGACTTCCGTGCCGAAAGCAGACTACAGGTCCTTGCTTCGTTATTGAACCTTAGGGGACTTTCAACTCCTACCTAGACCTAGACCCTGAATCTAAATCGCACAAAAGCCCCCTTAAGCCTTACAACTCGAGACAACCCTAAACCTCTGAATGCTCTCTCTATCAAGGTGCAGGTTTTCGCCCAATGCGGTCTGAGAGTGGAGCCACCAACAACGTCGCAAGACCACTGGAAGCCTGCTCGCGTAGAGGGTTAGGACCTGTTGGGGGATTCTGCTGCCGGCTCTTGGCCATCCAAAGCTCACTCTGACAAAAGAAGAGCCACTGCAGAGGACCCCGGATCTCGCATCAAAACCGTAAACCAAGATCGAACAGCCAACATTCATGTAGTTCTCTGGAGTCATGGCCTCATCTGGGTACCGACAAGAGACGCAATGGTGCGAAAGGGAAGATAAAGTTGAGGAGCTGGCCCTTATATAGCCTTGAAAAGACATAGGTACCAGCCTGATGTATTTGCAGGGTGGCCCCGATGTAAGATTCTGGCACCTGTCAGGGCTGAAATCGGTGCTCGGTCGTGGGCTTAAGCTGGTGGCTTCTGCGGCCTTGGGCTCTTTCGGATCGTGCACTCCAAGGGGGTTCCTTTTTTAGGGCCGCTGAGCTGGGTGCTTGGTGGGTTTGGGAGCGCTTCAAGCTTGTACGGTTCATGGTTCTGGGTTTGGGGTTCCGGGGAGCCCTCAGGCCAAAAGGATGTAGAGTTTAGGGTTAGAGTTGGGATCCGACACCCCAAGGTACTGAGCTCTCCAGTGCCAGCTCCTGGAGCAGAAAATCCTCCCGAGCCCAAGCTGAGAGAGACTCGCCTGAGACTCCGCCCTGAGACCGAAATCCCAAAGCACCCCGAACTCGAATCGGAGTCGCCTGAAACTCAGCCGCGATGTCTGGAATGCATGGCAGAAACTGGTCTGAGAGGAACCACTCCAGTGCGCCAAAGGCCTCAGAAAGTGCCAGACGGGGTTTCCGAGATGGGGCTGTGCCCGTTTTGGGGGGTTCCTATAAGAAGGAATATAGCATTTCGAGGTCACCTGTTTTGGGAAATCCCCCATGGTATGAAACACCCAACTCCTCGATTGGCGACAAGTTGAGACCCGCAAAAGAGAAATGAAGAGAGAGAGAGAGAGAGCGAGCCTGCAGATCACAGATCCCACTCAGATTGACCTTGCTACAGCGGGAATCGAGGACCAGACATCGGAAAACCTCAACCCCAAAGAACACAGAGTCATGAACTCTGCCAGGCGGCAGTCAGCAGAGCAAACTCCTGATACCATGCGGTCATGGGAAAGCACTTGCAATGTTCGGGCTGAAGCAACGAAAGAAGTGCGCAAGAAAGGTTGGGAATGAGGGTGAAACATTGGACATATCAGGAGGATGTTGGAGCTCAAGAGAGGATCCCGGGCAAGTGGCCGAATGTTGAGTACATTCTGTGCGGACGATTTATTGCAGCGATATACAAAGTGGACAAGCTACCACGAGGAACTGCCAGCTGGGATGCGAAGGGGCAAACACCACCTGAAACTGACTTCAGCACAATCTGCATCACATGCCCCCATTTTCGTATGCAAACAGTGATCGTGGCCAACATCGACATCCTGGAACAGCGGAAGGCTTGCAGGTCAGAAACATGCACAATGTCTGAACTCAAGGCATCGAGGCCGCACCATTGAAAGAGATACGCCCCCAAGGCCCATGAGGCTCCTGGATAGACGGCTTCCGCCTCTTGGCACCCTTTGCACGGAGCTCATAGAATCCGTCGTAAACAAAGAACCTCGGCTAGGGGCCCACGGTCTTGGAGAAACAGCTTGCCAGGTCTAAGCCCGAAGTGAAGCAACGCCCTCTGGAGCGTGAAACACCAGCTTGCATGGCAGCTTTACGAGGCCGAGCTCGAACCTGACAACCCCATTTTGAGGCTGGGGAACGGCAACAACAGTAACAGTCACCGAACCCGAAAGCGAGAAACAAGAACAACAAGAAGCACCAACAAATGAGCCCCAAGGGGTTCGGGGCCCGGGGCCACTTACATTTTGCAACGCAGTACGTGCGGACAAGGGGCAACACCACAGCCATGCCCGCAATGCCAGCTAAAACTTGGGCTAGTCGCTGCACAGTATGACCTCAGTTTAGGCTTTGAAGGCTGAGTCTCAGGTGATGGGCCTTGTTGAGTTTCTTTGGTATGCTTGATGCACATGGCCTAAAGGGACCAAGTCCTCCCCCCACACGCAAGGCTGGCATACGAACATTTTAGGGGCTTACGATGTAGATTTAGAGGTTTCGCACATTATGCTTCGAGGCGCTTGGTGAGACCGGGGCCAACTCAATGAGCTCGGTTGTGGCAAACCTGGGGCAGCACGAGTGACCATACAACGACACAGAGTACCCGAAACCCGACACATCACAAAACCCTTGAAGTTTTAGGTGTCCGTGTGCCGTGTATGGGTCCAAGGGCATGGTGGTTAGTTGGGGGTGGGCTGGGAGCAGCAGTTAGATTTGAGGATGGTCGGCTTCGATTCCCAACTGCTCGAACCAAGGTGCACATAGTGCGAGCTTTGCAGCAGCAGGATATGAACATCTTCAGTAACGGATACGTCGGTTGCAAACATGGCTCAAGGCAGGAGACCACAGAGCCGAAAAGTGCTAACAGACCATGCATCCAGCACGGGATCTCTTGAGCGTTGGCTTTACAGGGGCTTGTTGCCCACACGAAACACCACATCGTTGCCATTCCCCTGGCCTTGTAGATCAGTGGAGCGAAGGAGGTGGGCCCCGACAGCCCGCGGCCACCCGCTCCAAGCTGCTCGACAGCCTTCAGGGGATGCTGCTTCAGAGCCAAGTTTCTCTTGCTTTTGCCAAGCATGCAGCCTTGGTGTAGGCGGGTAGGACATCATCGACCGGGATGCTGTCTTTGCCTGGCCGTTGGAGCAAGAGGTCCGGAAGCCGGAGGCGACCAGAAATCACGAGAAGAAAAACTCTGTGTTGCTCGATCCTGGCACTGGACTACACCCGAAGCTGGACCTGTCACAAGCGGTCGGACGGCGCGATCTTTGGTCGAGACCTAGGACTTTTGGAAAGGAGCACCTCGAGAGCAATCGACGAAGCCCAAACCACCTCCGAGATTTCCCCATGTCCTCATGTCCTGGGCACCCACACATCTCCGAAGATGAAGGCTGGAATGAGGCCGTCTTCGTCGAACATGGGCGCAAGGGCCTTTGTATGCAAGGCGCGGGCATGAGCATTGACCTGAAACAGCACGTACAAGATTTGAAACTGAGAACGCTGCCTTCACCACAATTTCCTGGAAGGCAGGCCATCTCAAAAGCACGAACAACCCATGCATACACATCCATCTCTTCTTGGCACTCTTCTTGCATGCCAGCGTCAATGCTGCGCTGGTAGGGGTTGGGCCCGTGCGGCGAGCGCAAAGCGTGCAAGCTCAGATTGTGGAAGGTCTCCTTTCCCTGGGTCAGGTTGGACCTGGTAGTGCTGCGCAGGGGTAGCATCAAGAAGGCCGGCACACAAGGGTTCCGATGCCGGAATGGGAGTTTAGGCTCTCTCTCTCTCTCTCGAATCGCCAAGGCGCCGTGTAAAGTCGATCCCAAGAATCAAGTTGCATGTCTCCATGCCCTCCTCAAAGCCAGGACTAAACACTTGCAAAACAGAGCCCAAGCCCCAAGGTCAGTTGCAGTGGGTGTCCTTCTTGAGGGCAGCCAGAAGCTGGTTCTCGAAGAAGGTCTGCACGTGCAGTAGAACTCAAGGCCGAGACAAGCACTTTTTGCCGAACAAAGGGGCAACTAGACCTGAAGGATTTGGGCCCAAAACGGACTCCTTCAGAGTCAATTGAGACAATCATCCTCTCGGCGTATCAAGGGACCTCATCTGCGTTCGAAATCTCGGAAGGCTGTACGATGGCGGAGTGCTCTCTCAGCACCTCAAGATGCGATTTAGCCCTAAGAGCACAAAGCAAAACACCCCTTCGTGGGTAACAAGGTAGCTGTTGGCTGTTGGCCTTGCCCACACCCCGAGACCACACGACAGGCAATGACTGAAGCGTGGAATTAACATATGTTCAAGCCGTTGAAAGGACTTCAACATGCTGCAAAGGCATGGTCAGGTGTTCTCAGCAGCCACGAGGCCTCCTTGACCACCGCTGCCACGCTGGCCTCGAAGCCCCCAGAAAGGTATCCGCCCATGGCTCGGACCGTGCAAAGAGCTCGGCACGTCTTTCACTCAGCACTTGCAGTGTGGGGTGGCATGGGGTCTGCCGAATACATATTTCGTAGCTTTGCTTCCGCGCTTCATGTGATGGCAAACTTGCTGGAAGCAGCTGGCGAGCTAACTCCCGGCCCACGTGTCGTCTGCTCTTATCCCTCGTGACCGGTGCTATATGGTGCTCTCGTGTGCATCTGTGCATCCCCAATGCTACAGCCCTCCAAGCTGGTGCTCCGCAGTGCAAGAGACCAGTCCTTCCACCTTGGCACGGGGCGTGGCTCCGCCGAGTCGGCTGCCACTTCCTGGAAAACGTGGAGGAAAAGGAAGGGCAGATGAGGACACGGCGTGAATGCCTCTGCACCCCCCTTTTCTTCCTCCCGACCCCAAAAACCTCAGAAACCTCTCTCTAAGCCTCACAAGAAGTCCCAGCCTGGGCCTCACGTGTTAAAACCGAAAAAGGGGAATCTGGGTTTTCAACCGAATACAATCTGTGATCCTGCATGGCATGATGCCTCTTCGCCATGCTGTGGCAAGCGATCATTAAAACATACACCGCGACCCCTAACCAACACTCGAAGGCCTCTGGACCGTGGCTGTTCCTGCGCTCCTCGCCAAATTTGCAGAACAGGGTCACCAGACATGTCACTAGCATTCAGCATTCAGCACAGGTTAGCGCTTGACACTTTTTTGGGGTATTCTTGGGTTTGAAGTTGCACGGGGGCTCGCCAAGCGCGAGACTGCGAGCGTGTGGAATTAGGACAGAGCAACAGCAACACAAAAAGAGGAAACATGTCCCAAACGTCAATTCGTGTAAAGACGGCGCCTGTGCGTGCTCAGAGGAGTCCCTCTATATCTGCCTTCCCTGGATTAATCAGATAGATCCTGCAGCAAACTTTAACTAACGGTCTCTAAAAGCCGGTGTGTCAGCAGCTCACCCCTTTTACCAGAAGAAACAGGTTGCTAGCCTTGCTTGCTTGCCTGGACCCGGGTTGGACACCTCTAAGTAAGTGAGTGAGTGCATGAGTGAGTGAGAAGCGTCTCCCGTTTGATACAGGGCCATGCCTAAAGCGCTATCCCTCCGGGCATCTCAGGGGCTCCGTAGACGTCATTGCCCCTCCGCTTGGAGTTCAGACTGGCGGGGCGCCCCGGGCCGCCCCGGGCTCCGTAAACGTCATTGCCCGGGACACCTCTAAGTACTAGGGGTTTGCCACTTTCAAGCTAACCGAGGCTTTGCACAACAGTCTTCACAAGAGCAATTGAGAGCACGCGTATTCGGGTGTGCTGGTTTGGGGGCATGCATCTCAGGACTTCGTGCTCTTGGCCGCACAGACGCCCCATGCCCACGCGAACGAAAATCAACAAGAGCCCAAGGCTTCTGAGACTTTTGAGGGCTTCGCAGCTCCTCAAGGCGCAGCGCCTCCGCCAGGCTCTCCTCCTGCGAGGAGCGTCTTGAGAAGAGCAGCTAAGGTGTTGCGGGCTTAGGGTTTAGGAGGTGTTTGGATGCTTCGGAGGGTGGTGCTCTCCTCGCAAGAAAAACCTGAAACTTCCTCCCCCCCCCTCCCCCCAAGAAAACCTGAACCCTAAACCCTAAACTCTAAACCCTAATTCCTAAACCCTAAACCCTAAACCCTAAACCCTAAACCCTAAACCCTAAACCCCAACCCTAAACCCAGCCTCGGTGTTCGCCTCCTGGAGGCGCACCTCCAACCTCCCAAGCTGGCGCTTGGATGGGTCTCTCAGGGTAGGGTTTAGGGTTGAGGGTTCAGGGTTTAGGGTTTAGGGTTTAAGGTTTAGGGTTTAGGACTAGGGTTTGGGGCTAGTCGTTCGGTAAGTTGCCTCTGCATGGTGCCATCCGAAAAGCATTCGAGTGTTGATCCTGGCTCCAACATTTTACGTTCCTTGCCTCTCAAGCGGTAGGGCTTTTGAAGGGGCTCTGGGGCTCAGACTGCATGTCTAAAGACCGACACCTTCATGAACGATTCTGGGGCGGAGACTTATCATGGGAGCTCTTCATGGACGGACTCTTGGCCTTGTCCCCTTTTAATATTAGCTTACAGCTGCACACGAAGCCGCTATAGGCTACTGCCGAAGCGGAATCCGAAAGCAGCTCAGCCACTCAAACATGAGCGAAGCCGATTATCGTTTGATTGCAAAGACCTTCCTGAAGTTGCAGCCCTAGTCTGTTCGGAGAGCACGACCACCTCGATGTTTCCGCCGCCAGCTCCCGCTGAGTGTTTAGCAAGTGCCGATGACGGTCCTCGCACGTGGAGTCATCGGGTAAAAGTTTGTGCACTTGCACCTGGACCCTTATGCCCTGAGCTTCTGCAGCTGGCATCCTCCAGGCAGTAGTGCTCGTGGGAGAGGCTGGCCTGCTGACGTTGTCTGATGTGGCTTGGAGGCACATCAGCGGCCACCATGAAGAAGCCTGGCCTCGGTTTGCCTCTGGACACCGAGCTGCTGCCAGTCGACCGTGTACCTCGGCCGCTGCGAGAACACAGAGGGCTAGCTCGGGAATACGACAACCTTCAACCGATAACAGCCATTTCGTTAAGACGGGGGCATCCCGGGAGCATCGTGGGTGGACATGTGTGGGCAAACCACAACTGTTCGAGCAAAGGGACTCGGTGAGCTGAAGATTCAAGTACCGGATTCTCTCGTCCTGGCAAAGGGATACGGAACCTGGTGCCTGTGGTCTGAGCCACGCTTCCCACAAGGCTCACGAGGCTCCTTCATCTGGCACTGCTGCTTCCAGTGGCTCGCCATCATCCTCCTCTGCTCTTGATGGAACCGCACCAGATCCTGCCAAGAACATCTCTAAACTCTAAACATCCTTGACAATCCCTGGGGACCAGCCTGCTATGCCTAGTGTGCACCCAGTGCTGTCGCCTCTGCACAGACCACCCGCCGGTCCGCTTGCTCGGCCGCCTTTTGTTGATCCTGAAAGTCGGAAGCAGCTGAGGCTTCATGGGCTTGGAGGTCTTACTGAGAAGGACTTCCGACGCGAGTGGTTGCGGAAGGCTGCAGCTTCATCAACTCTCTTGGTGGGGGTCCTCCAGAGCCACCCGAAGTGCATCCAGGCGCTCATTGTGCTGCTCCTCACTTCTGGAACATGTGGAACATTCTGGAATTCGGGCCCCCAAGCTTTTCAACACACAAGGCCTTCATGGTCTTGAACTCCGCTTGCAAGCCCAAGAAATCCTGCGAGCTCTGCTGGCAGCTCAGATGCGCCCGTGCATCGGTCACGTGCCCCAAACAAGCCACGAAGCGTCAACTCCAAACTGCCGTTTGTGTTCTTTGATGTGGAACTGATTGTTTTTGCTAGACAGTGTACAGGCTGAAAGTTTTTTGCCTAACCCTAGGCTTGGAGGCAAAGCACATCTCAGCTCCCAAACAGATGCTCCTCCTGAGCACGCATCACGCGATCTTCGAGGACCTTGCGCCCAGTCTGCTGAAGTTGCGAATTGGGAAAGTCAACAACGATCACACAGAACTTCCTGCCCTGGAAAAGAACGAGAGAGAGAGAGAGAGAGAGAGCGAGAGAGAGCTCCAGAGCATTTGTTCTATAGGGTTTAGGGTTTAGGGTTTCTCTCTAAGGTTTAGGGTTTAGGGTTTAGGGTCTAGGGTTTAGGGTTTATCAAAAAACATCACGAAATGCCCCAGATCGGGCCTCGTTCTCTGCACGCAGCGCGCCCGCCTGCAACTTGGCCTCGAGCCTGAAGTCTTGAGGTCTTGCAGGAGTCAGGGATCCAGTGTCTGGAAATCTTGGGGATTTCAGGGCTTAGAGCCTTGGCTTGTTTTCAAGGTTCGGAAACGCTTGGAACTGAGTGCTTTGGCAAGACTAGCCCAAAATCTCCCACATGACTCATGACAGTACGCATGACTCGTGCATGGCCCCCCCATGAACAGAGAAACAGGAAGGACCTGTTGATTCTCCTGGAGCAAATCAGGGACAATCTGATCTCTCAGCGCCAAACTCTGCCCGCCTGGTCCGAAGCAACCTTGCAGCTCGGCATGAACAAGTGGACCCGTTCATGCTGCTTTTCAAACAGATCCATGTCTTGGTGTCTGGTGATCCAGCAAAGCCCGTGGACCTAAGGTGACTTGGCCTTCAATACACATGAAGTTGAATCGTCCCAGACCGCTCTATGCCTGAGTCTGCTCTCACGATCTTCAGATTCCTCGGGGGCACCTAGCAACAGGAGAGACTCTCTGCTCGAGCATAAGCAAATCTCGCATAGTCTCGGAACACATCCAGGGTTTGGATGCGTACTCTCACCTAAACTCCCATCATGACTGATCAAGCCTGCTTCAGCGCTTTCGCCACGAGGTATCTGAAGCTCCTTCAGAAGAGAACCCACTACTGCATCTCATGGAATGGCCATGCATCAGCTGAATCGGCTGCCTTTGCAAACTGCCCTGACATCCTGATGCAACAGCCCAGTCTCCTGACCTGAGCCCTGAAACTCGGCTCCTCGACACCAGGCGGTGTCTCCGCAGGTTGTAGCGGTGGAGTTGTTGGAGACTTGGTCGGACACACATTCCGAAACACGGGAAAGGATCTTATGTCCCTTTACGCAGCAGCGCAGCGCTGGATCGAGCAGGCTGCATCGAGCCCAAAAATGATTGGCATGTTTGAAGAAGCCTCCACCCTTAGGCATGATGTCCCTGCCCCCTTGCAACCCCTAAACGAATAGGATGCAAGGCGCCCTTCGGAACTCCAGACACACCTGCGTGGGTGCCGAAAGTCCATTTCAAATCCACCGAGCGGCCACAACCTGACCCAGCAAGTTCCAGGTCGAACTTGTGTCCTGAGACATGACATCGCAATCAAGCGAAGTATTGGTAGGGACCCGGCGTTAAACCACTGCATTCCACAAAAACTGCAACATCTCCCACCTCTTCTGCGAACAAGCCCTGCTGGTAGTAAAACAAATGCATCTGGCGGGAACCATCTCTGTCCAAAGCAATTCTTTGGCAAAAGGGACACACTCTCGAGGTTGTTATGTGCATCAAGTCTGACCGAACACGAAAGCTTACCACGTCTGCATCAACACAAAGACATGCCGGCAAACCAGGGCAGCGGGAAAATTGCTGCGGTTGTTCTCCATCACCTCAACGCACGGCTTCACAGACGCAACATAGACAGCCAACTGCGGCCACCCGTAAGCAAGCATGTGAGCGCCATTTTCGGTGGACAATTCATGCAGCCGCAACTCAAGGTCCCGACGCCGGCAAGTCATGACGTGAACAAACAGCATCAACCAGCCATGGGGTCAGCCTATCCTGCTGTGTGGTTTCAATACACTGCTTACCACAGCATGCTGGGTCCTGTGTAGACATTGATGCTAGCTTATTGAATTTCACTATAACAACCAAGGCTGTTTCATGCACTCTTCATGTATTTCGACAAGAAGCAGCTGCTTTTTCGCAAAAGTCGCCGACGGTCATTCTGTCTGGCAAACCGGTTGCATGTTCTCCTCTTCGATAACGAGGCTGCGACTTACTCGGTCGTGTAAGTCATATATGTATATAGTCAAGTTTTCGCATGTCGAAATATAATAGAGTAGACGCGGTGGCGCCGTGTGCATCCGTAACCAAACGTGTTCGAGGCATTGATCGATCCATTGCTGGTTGCATGCCCTCAACCGCTACCTTCTCCTGGGCATGGAAACCCACAAGGGATACCCGAATGGCCAGGCTCTGCCCGCCGCAAGAGCAGCAAAGGCGGCGGCCAAAACCACATTGAGCTGAAGATCTGTCATCGGACTTTTGGTTTGCGTTTTAGCTTCTGCTCGCTGCTCGTCGTGGTCACTGACGCCGAGCACGTCGGCTGCGTGGCTGTGCGATCGATGCAGGAGTGGAGTGAGCCAATACTCCGGGTCTGCATAGCGAACATCCAACCATCGCTTCGTCGGTGTGTCAGGGGGTTGACCATAGACCGCTTGGAACTTGGAAATACAAGTCAATCCCAGTGCTAGTACTTGAGCCAGAGACATATTGGCTTTGTTGACAGGGTTCCAGAATGTCACGGATTGGAAGTGGGCCCACGGCCCACGCCTCGATGTTCCGATCAAAAGGTAAGCCACGTTCCGTGGATTGCTGCGGCCGCCACTCATCAAGCCGAGACTGAGGGCGACCACGTGGCAACAGGGCAAACCCGAGGAAACCGCTGAGGTCGAAGCCATTCGAAACGCAGAGCCATCGAGTTCCACAACACAGACAGTCATCCGCAGAAAGCGCAGGAGCCGCCGCCGGGTCACCCAGAGCGCCGGCAGGGATGGCTTGTGCCACGGGGCTGGGCGAAGGGAGGCTGGCGACCAAGCGTTCAGGCGTGGAGACCAGGCCACAAAAGCAACCAAAGCCGAAGCCAAGAAGTTCCAACGTGCAGGCAAACTATTTAGAATACAATTTACTTTCTCGTTTGGGATGAATGAATGTTTAGAGTCTCACTTCTCTGGTTTCGAAGCCGGTAGAAGTGAAGTCCATTTTCGACCAGTGCGGGAGCAACAATTTGCTGACATTGTTCAGACTCGATGGGAATTTGTGTGGCCCAAAAACAGCTGGCTCCGTGCACTGAGACGAACTGGAAGAGCTGTTGTGCAACAAATTGGCGTGGCGAGGCACATGGTCCACCAGACAGTGCGACATGCAACAAGCATGACTGCGAAAAACTCCTGCAACAAGCGTCCGACCTTGTACGAGTGACTGCACTCGACCCAAGCGCAGTTGGGGCATCAGCCGGGCCTGTCGCGAGGCCATTTTGCTTAGCTCTGGAGAGCGACAGGAAGCCAAAAAACGTGTCTCTGTGTGGAACAGATGCTCGGGCGAGCGGACAGGCGTCTTGGATTCAACCATGCGTGACGACGTAGAACGCAGCGGCCAGCACAGGCAGCATGTGCAACCGGCAGCGGTCGCCTGCCGCGCGCGTTGGCGAGAGGCAAAGGCCTTCGAAGTGCCAGCAACAGTGACGCCGTCCAGAAAGGCCGCGGGGCTGTGAGGTTGAATGAGCTGGCAGGCGACGCAACCAAGGTCCGTGCGGAGGCACTTCGCGAGACCATTTTAGCAGGTGGCGCCGTCAATCAGTGAAAGTCACAGCTGGCCAGTATGCTTTCAAAAAGGGGTAAAAGGTGCATCTACCGATGCCTGAAGACAGGTATCACAGTGGTACATCACATCGATGATGGAAGGTGTGCGGGGAACGCCGCCCTGGATGGAGCGTATCGGTCGAAGTTTTGGGCAAAACCAAGACCCGTGCTCGAAACATCATCGAAAGCACACGGTCTGAAGTTGCACAGGCTGGATTCCAAAGACAGGCTCGCGAAACAGGAAACAAGCCAACCTTTGCCAAGAAGAGCTTCCGTGAAAGGTGAGCACCGCGCACGGCCGAGCAGTCACAGAGAAGTGGAAATCCAGTGCAGGGCGGCACTGTTGCGGAAAGTCACAGGAACAAACGAAGCGCTACAAGCTTTGCTTTTTGTTGGGCATGGTGGACCAAACATGTTGCGGGCGCCACCGCCCAGGAGAAACACACGGTGAAGATCCGCCTACGAGCTGGAAACCGAGAATGGGCGCCCCCCTTTGGGCAAAAGGGGGCTTAAGCCCCCCTTTAAGCCCCCCTTTAAGCCCCCTTAAGCCCCCCTTCAAAGGGGTCCCTGCAAAGGGGGTCCCTTCAGGGGGGGCGGGGGGGAAAAGGGTCAAAGCCCTAAGCCCCCCTTAAGCCCCCCCCTTAAGCCCCCCTTTAAGCCCCCCTTTAAGCCCCCCTTTAAGCCCCCTTAAAGCCCCTTTAAGCCCCCCTTTAAGCCCCCCTTTAAGCCCCCCTTTAAGCCCCCTTTAAAACCCCCTTTAAACCCCCCTTTAAGCCCCCCTTGAAAGCCCCCTTAGAGCCCCCCTTTAAGGCCCCCCCGTTTTAAGGGGCTCAAAGCCCCCCTTGAAGCCCCTTTTTTAAAGCCCCCTTAAAGCCCCCCCTAAAGCTCCCCCCTGAAGCCGCAACCAAGCCCCCTCCACTGTGGAGGGTTTAAGCAGCAGTTTAAGAGGCCTAATACTTGCTGGGCCTTTGGGCAAGCAATTTAAGAGGCGTGATGCTTGCTGGGCCTTCTTCTTGCTGGGCCTTCTGCGGATGGTTTAGGCAACAGTTTAAGAAGCCTGATACTGCTGCTTAAATCCTCCACAAAAGGTCCAGCAAGTATTACGCCTAAACTGCTGCCCGAACCCTCCACAAAAGGCCCAGCAAGTTTAAAAAGCCGAACACTGCTGGACCTTTTGTGGAAGGTTCGGTTAAGACGTCTAAGAAACTTAATGCCTTTGGATTTGCGTCCGTGTTTGCAAATGGGGACTGCGCCCCCTCTGCTTGTTCAAGCCGGCAAACTGGCTTTGAAATTTAGAAATTTTTCTGTTCTTGGATGGAATCAAAAAGCTTTTCCGATCTTTCCAACAGGTCAAGCAATGTAAACCGAAAAGAAGGAGGCAAGCAGCGCACCCTGCAAGTTGGAGATGCAAAGACTTACAGCTTGTTAGAGACCACGCCAAAGTTGGTGCCTTGTAAAAATCTTTGCCTGCCCGTTGCCTTGGTTTGGCTGCTACTACAGACATGCAACTTTTGTTGTTCTGCATGCTGGCTTGGAGTTGCAGTTGCCTTGGAGGCTCAACGGAAGTGCTACTTTTCAGTGGGAAGCCTTTTTTGAAGTGGAATGTGTGTCTTGAAGAATTTCGTTTTCTGGTGGGCATTATTACTGGAGGAAATTCCGAAAGAAGCAGTTAAGGTTCATAAACTGCGCCTTGTTGAAGCTGAAGAATCGGTTCACTGACTAAGCCCTGTTGGATCGGCAGGTAAAGGAGCAAGAGCAAGTTTGCCTAGATCGTTAAAGCAATGGCAGAACAACAAAGAAACTTTAAAGCAATGCTGGCTGGCAGATGAAATCCGAAAAAAACACAAATAAAACAAAGTTAAGGTGGAATTTGGAATATATTTATTCTTTCTCTTTTTTTGAAAGTTAGAATCTTACTTCTCTAGTTTCGAAGAACGAAATCCAAAAAACAAACAAGAGTTAAGGAAGGTGGAATTTAGAATGAATCTTCTCTCTCACATTCAAACTTGGGTTTTTTGCCTGACGGCAAAATGGGGGTGCGAAGCACTCTCTGCTTGGCATCAAATCAGGGGGCCACATGGATTACATGGCCCCATTACCTACGACGGAGCTAAGTATGGCCGAAATTTCGGGCGCGGCATGGTGTTCTAGGGCCATAGGGCCAGATTAACAAACCTGTCGGCAGTCTCATCAAGAGTCTCATATTGCCCAGCAGCGTCAGCAGATCCTCAGCAGAAGATCATCAGCAGCATCATCATCATCATCATCATCATCATCATCATCATACCATCATCATCATCATCATCATCATATCAGATCATAGCATATCATATATCATCACATCGTGTCATTGTCATCATCATCATCATCATCATCAATCATCGTCGTCATCATCATCCTGCCAGGTCCTGAGTCCTGAGCCCTGGCATCTTGGCAGTCCGGCTTCCCGGCGGTCCTGGTGCTGGCACGCGGTCCTGGCCTGGCATTGCCGCCGCATTGCCTGGCATTGGCATCAATCATAATCGCATCATCGCATCGCATCATGAATCATTATGCATTGTGAAGTATGAATCATCAATCATCAGTCATCAATCATTCATTCAGTCATGACTCATGACATGAGATCATGATGAGCCACGAGTCATGAGTCATGAGTCATGAGTCATGAGATCATCATGAATCAGGAACCATGAATCAGTCACAGTCACAGCCACAGTCACGGCAGTCACGTGAGTCATTGCGGCCGCCGCAACCCATCGGCCACAAACACGGGTCATGAACAATGAAAAACTGCCTTGGTTTCCTTTCAGCTTTGTTCGCGTCGAATCTTCAAACACACTCAGCCCATCTTTCTTTCTGCTGTTTGGCTTGACGTGCATTTTTTCCTGTTTGCAGAAAAGGCTGAAACAAAACCACCAGCAATGAAACAGGACTTCAAAGAACTTGGTCTGTGTTTTTCAGCTGTCCTGGCTTGACACATGCAGGCCACACCATACTTGAGATGCAAATTGGAGATGCTTTTT